CCTGTTACCACAAGGATACGAATCAATGGTGGTGAATGATTTATGGAGAGATGGTAACGGGTGGAGAATGGATATGATCACACCGTACGTCTCGGACAATGCTAGACTGGAGTTAACATCAGTAGTTGTGGATAAGGTAACGGGAGCCAGTGATCGGTTGTCTTGGAGTGAAAGTGTGGATGGGAACTTCTCGGTAAAGTCAGCATATAATTTACTTACAAGGAATAGTGACCCGAGACCTAACTTGGAGAAGTTTTATAGTCGAGTATGGAGAGTGACGGCACCGGAGAGGGTCCGTGTGTTTCTTTGGTTAGTTGGGAACCAAGTACTCATGACAAATGCCGAACGGAGTAGACGGCACTTAAGCAGTACGGATATATGTCCAGTTTGTAAAGACGGAGTAGAGACGATACTCCATATCCTTAGAGATTGCCCGGCGATGATGGGAATATGGACTAGGATTCTACCACCGCGGAGGAGACGCACTTTCTTTGACAAATCCTTGCTTGAATGGGTGTTTGACAACTTAAGTGATGAGAATGAGTATTGTGAAAGTACATGGGCTACGATGTTTGCGATGGCGGTATGGTGGAGTTGGAAATGGAGATGTGATAACGTGTTTGGTAATAACAGAAAGTGTCGAGATCGTACACGGTTTATCAAAGAGCTAGCAAGGGAGGTAACTCTCTCGCATAGGCTACATAATGGGAGCAGTACATCAGGGAGCCGGGGTGACGTGCTAGTGGGATGGGTTATGCCAACGGGTGGATGGATGAAGCTTAATACAGACGGTGCCTCACACGGGAACCCGGGCTTAGCCACGGCGGGGGAAGTTCTTAGAGATGGGTATGGAGATTGGTGTGGTGGTTTTTCTCTCAACATAGGTCGTTGTACGGCACCATTGGCGGAATTATGGGGTGTCTACTACGGCTTATATATAGCTTGGGAGAAGAAAATCACACGATTGGAGCTGGAGGTGGACTCGCAGCTAGTGGTCGGATTTCTGAAGACAGGGGTGAGTGAGATGCATCCGTTGTCGTTCCTGGTGCGCTTGTGCCATGGCTTTTTATCGAGGGACTGGATAGTCCGTATTTCGCATGTGTATAGGGAAGCTAACCGTCTTGCTGACGGGTTAGCGAACTATGCGTTTTCTTTGCCTATTGGTTTTCATTTCTTTGATGCTGTTCCGAATGATGTTGATTCACTTTTTAGGGATGACGTGATTGGGTCTACGCGCCCAAGACGAATCCGTTTGTAATTTGGTTATTTTTCTTAATAAAAGGGAGACATAGTCTCCCATTTTCCTACAAAAAAAAAATGAATCAAACCAATTCAAATTTCTAAACCGGTATCAATTTAAATCTAACCAAAAGTTCTAAACCAATTAAATATAATAAATACTTGTCCTCCGATCACCTCACTCAATAAATACATAATCTGAAAAAAAAAAAGATATTAAGGTACAATAACATGATAATAGCCCATTAATCCGACCAATAAATGGTAGATATAACATAATAGATTACTTGTCTAATTACAAATACAACACTAATCCATGTAAACCAACTCAAATGCAAGTCAGAGTGCTTTTTCGTATATAAAAAAAGTACTAATAAAGTATCTTTTAATGAAGCCCATATCATAATTATCATGAGCTCCATTGGGAGATAGTTTCACACTTGAAACTATTAAAAAAAATGCTTAAATCATATAAAAAGACATATATGAAAATTATGGGTTAATGGTGGTGAGCATCAAGTAGTAGTATTCATACGTGGTTAACAAAGAGAAGCAAATGAGGAGATGGGAACGAACACATGGAACTCCACTCTTTCATATATTTGTGATTCATGTAAGAGTGGATACTAAGTCAGCATTCACTTTCTATTTTCATTCATATACATACTCCTACCCTTTTCTTTTCTTTTTGCTCCAAATTCCAAAAGATGTAAAGTAACCCCTTTCACCACCCAAAAACTATAATTATGAAAATTTGATATAAATTAAAGGAGGGAGAGAAAATAAAACATCCTCTAAGTACCAAAAACTACAAAATCAATCCCAGTCTACAAAAACGCAAAGCAGAAGAGTGGAGGAGAGAAATTGACCATTGTATCTTGGATTGCGTAATAGACATGACAATGAAAGGTCTACTATAAGAAGATATAAAAACAAAAGACGATGAAATATAATGGAGATTCGATGAGGCATCGACGTACATAATATGTCGCAATGAAATAATATCAAGGAAATAAGTTAGTCTTAATCTGATTCCACATTAGTATTAACATGTTTAAACCAAACAAAAAAAAAACATGTTTCATAATTTTGAAATTTGATCTTGAATTCGTTTCTCCTCAATATGTGTTTATTAGCATCAAAGTGATCATTAGTACTTTCATGTTGAGAGTTAAGTTTACATAAATCACATAACTCTGGTTCCAATGATTTGTGATCAGAACTCTAATTATAAGTTACTCTAATTATAAGTTTTGTTTGTAAAATAATTTTTCTTTTGGAAAGTCAAATTTTGGAAAATGCTAGTTCCTTTCCAAGATCAATTATAACACACACAAAATGTGTTTAATACGAGTTATCAAATTACTAAAGCCTAAGGATATCAAATGGGTGGACAATTCTATATGATTTAAAAGTGGTGGTTTATATTCCTATTAACTTAACCAGCAATAAGATCAAAGTTTTATTTGCTAATCCTATTTCACTTCAGGTTTGGGTGACACTCTAGTTTGCAAAGATACTCTCTAAACATAGTTCAAGAACACAATTTAATAGACGTCCATGTTTTCTAAAATATATTTGTTGTTTGTCCATTGTCGGGCTAACCCTAGCATCAATTATGATGAAGGGCAAATCCACATATAAGGCAAGTATATATCAATACCTAATTAATTAAAGCACAAGGATGAGTCACATAGGATTTGGGTATTACTCAGCAAACATCAAACAACTGAAAAACACTCATACAACTTTGAAAACCCACACTAGCTAATAAGCCACGGCATGTTTGCATTATGCTTCCTGTATTACCGACTAAATTAGTGAATTAGTGATTGTCACAAGTAGCCGACAACTTTTTTTGACTCAATTAGCAACAAACTTACAGTAAGTGACCAACAGATAAGCAATGGGCTTAAATGGTATATGGCTTTTTCATCGTGTTTTCACGTTTTGGAAACGTAATTATGCTCGGTACATACTATTTACCATAACACACAAGAAATAATAAAACCAAAAATTAAGAAGTGATTTTTGAATCTATTTTCCACGTTTTATATTTATAAATAGTTTAGATAAAACTTAATTTCTCCACTAAATACTTTTTGAGTTTTTTTGTGTCTAAGAAAAAACTCTTTTTCATTTTTATCCCTACTAATATTATTTTTACTTCATTTGGTATGGGAGCAAACTTCTCTGTTTTTCTTTTATATATGATATAAAGTGCTCTATTCTTTTTTAAAAACCAAGAAAATAAATGTTCTATATTACGTTGCGATATTTATCTACTTGTTTGTATCCAATTAAATATATATCATATTATCTTTTGGTGATGAGAGTTAAGTATAGTCTATGATACTAATTTAGATTATCTTATGTTTTGAGTTTTATTTTAATAAAATTTAATTTGTAATCATTTCAAACAATAAAATGTTTAACGTAAAAAAGTTTAACTAGAACAGATTAAGAGTTGGGACTGATCTTAGCATCGCAATTTTTTGATGAATAATTTTCTGGTTTTATATAATTTGGTAACTGATTACATAGTTTAGAATACTAGGTGCCACAACGACAAAGAACTCCGGAGTGAACAAGCCCGGTAGTAGTACTAGTAAATAAAGACATATAAGTTAAAAAGAAGATAATTGAAACCACAGCTTGAACATATCCTGAAATTTCAGGATGTGCTTTCTAGCAGAACAAGTGTTTCGGATTCCTCGATCAAGAGTAGCGAACATACCTTCACCCGGACTGCGGATACTGGTATAGATTCAAGCATTTCTTTCATGCCATATAATGTATACCACAGCCTGAGCCACGATAAGCCTTAGCGGGTCCATCTAAGCTTCCTTAGATGGGCTCTTAAGGCAGCCAAGGAAGCGTTCCCAAATGTTAAACCCCGTGAATGGATACTTCAGCTTGGACGTAAAATAATTTTTCATAATCTTACTTGACAATATTAAATGGAATTAACCAAAAGGGACTAGATATTATTATTGGTGTGATGTCCGAAACTCTTACGGTTTAACACAAAAAAAAAAAAAAAAATTTAAATGGAACGAATAAGCCTTAACAATAACTTTAGAAAAAAAATGGAAAAGCTTAGGCAGCTTTAACACGCCCAATCTCACACATACATACTCTCTGTTTTTTTGCTTTCTTTTGTTTGTTAAAGGGTTTGCTAATTCTCTGATTTGTTTTTTTTTTGTGAATTCTCTGCTTTTCCTACAAAGAAAAAGACAAACATGAATAACTAACAGCGGTTATACTCGAAATCCGAAGTCGTTTCCACGTGCTTTCTGATGAACATTTAACATAAAACGTTCGGACTCTTCGTGACACTTAAACCAAACATACACGTAGCTAACACTAGACGTGTAGATTTTAGGTTTACGTGTTTATCAAGTTGGGCAAATCACAAAAAATAAAACAAAAAAAAGCTTATGACGTGAGCAACAGGATAATAGTGTTAGCAAAAGAAATCATCAGAGCCATTATATGATATTGTTTGCTTTACAATTCCATGAACGAACCCATACCAATCCAAAACAGCAATTATCATCTTTCTTTATTGAACAACGTATCTCATTGGTCGTGTCCTAATATAAATTTATATATTCATATAGATGTATACTTTATAGTTTTTGTTTTTTCTTTTGCTACATGACTCTCGATCGAGGGAAAAAACTAGTTCTCATGTTTATCCAAAACTCTATATCACCTTTTTGATGTTTTTTATATAAGAAGACTTGTTCATCATACTCTTTCAATAACCAGCTTGACAGAAAAAAATAATACAAAAAATTTCAATAACCATGGAGGGTGTTAGTGCAACTATGCAAAAGTTTAGGCCTTATTTGTTAATGATATTTTTGCAATTTGGAGCAGCAGGAACATATATTGTTATTATGGCCACTCTTAGCCAAGGCCAGAACCGTTACGTCGTAATTGTGTATCGTAATCTTGTGGCTGCTCTTGTCCTTGCACCTTTTGCACTCATCTTTGAAAGGTCAGTCTATGTTATACAATATTTATAATGTTCTTTTTTTGGATACAGTACTATACATTTCATTGCTTCTTAATTAGCATGTTGTGGCCTAAAAGTGTTATTCTTTTTTTCCTGTTCCTAAAACATAAATTGTTTTGGTTTTGATTTTGTAGGAAAGTGAGGCCGAAGATGACACTATCGGTTTTCTGGAAAATAATGGCACTTGGTTTCTTAGAGTAAGTATAAGCTTTCCCATTTCACACTCTTAAGTCTCAAAACAATAAACATTATGTTTTGGAGAAGAAATAAAAACAGAGGCATGATATTTTATAAAGTAGCAAGTAGTACCCTTAATACATACTTTTCGTACCGCCTTGTGTGTAGGCCAGTCTTGGATCAGGGTTTTGGTTACTTGGGGATGAATATGACATCAGCAACATATACATCTGCGATCATGAACATTCTTCCTTCTGTCACATTTATAATAGCTTGGATTTTAAGGTAATTTATGGTTTTAACTTTGAACACATATCGAAAACCGAATTGAATGTAATAAACGGTGGTATGTGAATAGAATGGAGAAAGTGAACATAGCTGAGATACGAAGCAAAGCAAAGATAATTGGGACATTGGTGGGTCTTGGAGGGGCATTGGTAATGACATTGTACAAAGGTCCGCTTATTCCTTTACCATGGTCCAACCCGACTATGGATCAACAAAACGGACATACCAATAGTTCACAAGACCATAACAATTGGGTTGTTGGAACCTTGTTGATACTCCTCGGTTGTGTTGCTTGGTCTGGTTTCTATGTTTTACAGGTACGCTCCTTACCATTTTTTGAGCATATATTATATAGTTAGTAGTTACATAACTTTTTGGCCGACGAGTTGTGTTGAATCCTCCATTTATTTATTTTTTATAATTTTTTATTTTTTAAAGCATATCATATAGAAACTTAAAAAATATGTATCTACTAGCTGGGATATGTATGTAAATATACTTTACAAGATCACATATGTATGTTATATATAAAATTAGTGCATAACCTCTCAACATCACATATGTGATATGTGTTAAATATGAGCCCCAACCACTAGTTAGTGATTAATGTGTGTCCTTGAGATGTTTTTCGCTTGCACTTGCCTAGAAAAGACTTTTGTACCGGTCTACTGATACTTGATACATATGTATATTTGACACATACAGTCCATAACAATAAAGACGTATCCTGCCGATCTTTCACTATCAGCCTTAATATGCCTAGCCGGGGCTGTCCAAAGCTTCGCGGTAGCGCTTGTGGTGGAGCGCCACTCCAGCGGATGGGCGGTTGGATGGGATGCAAGGCTTTTTGCTCCTCTTTACACGGTAAGGTTTATATCAGTTTTACGCGAAAACTAATCATTTGAGACAAAAAAAATAGTAACCATGCAGACTTGGTTTAATGAAGGGCATAGTAAGCTCGGGGATAACATACTACGTTCAAGGGATGGTTATGAAGACGAGAGGACCAGTTTTTGTCACTGCCTTTAACCCTCTCTGCATGATTCTTGTAGCTCTCCTTGCCTCTTTTATTCTTCATGAACAAATCCATTTCGGATGGTAAGTACATCTTATATATCTTATTATTCTTCATGAGGTACAGATCCTTATATATCTTGTTATTGCAGTGTAATAGGAGGGGCAGTTATCGCCGCGGGTTTGTATATGGTTGTTTGGGGAAAAGGAAAGGACTATGAAGTATCAGGATTAGATATCCTTGAAAAGAATAGCCTCCAAGAATTGCCAATCACAACTAAAGGTGACGATGACAACAAATTGGTTTCTTCTATAAGCGACAACAGCAATGTGACCATTCCCGGTGGTGCGCATCGTAACACATCTGGAATATAAGTGAAGAAAGCATTTCTCGAGTAATAAATACATATTTTTATTCGACTAAAATAAATACATATGTATTTGTATGCATTTGGTATGAAATACGTTGAAATTATTTTTATGTTTTGACAGTTACATAAGTTGTAGTTGTCAGGTCCAAATCACACAAATACTCCGGTCATTATTATCATCTTTTCTTCAAATTATCGTAGTCTTAACCCTCCATAGAAATATGCTAATTTCTAAAACCAATAATCTCAACAAAGTAGCTAGGTTTTTTTTTCGTAGCAAAATGATCCTAAGCCGAAACCCAAAGTAATTCCCAAGGCCATTAGAAATCCAAATTTTTTTACCACTAAAGACCTTTATGAATGGCAAAAGTGCATGTGTATCTGATAGGATACGAACCCGGGGCGGGAAATGAGGGTTTACGCCATACCCTGAGTTACAAAGCTCAACCACAAGAGGCTAATCACTTGACCAAAGTACCATGGTTTTGTTTTTTGGGTCGACTTAGGACCTGTCATGTTCATTATTTTTTTTTTGAATACCAGGAGGTTCTGGGCCAAAGTCCGTAATCCCCCAGGCCCGAAATCACAACATGTAATATTAGTTTCGTCCCAAGCGTCACTCGAACCGGCGAACTCTAAGCTTCGCATAGGATCTTTACCAGTTGAGCTAATGACACTTGGTCATGTCGTGTTCATTATTGAAACTATTTATTTGGGATTCATTTTTGTACTCGGTGAGATCAATATTATTATGTTGGATCTAGCATTGAATAATTAAGAATCAAGCTAAGAGCCTCAAAACATCTATTTCTACGGCTAGACTCTCTGCCATTGTGATCAATTACGTCATGAATATGCTCTTCATTGGCATTAATACATTCGGTTATTTCCATTAAAATTTAGTTGGATCTCTAGTTTAATATCGATCATTGGATAAAAGAAATCACATTAAAAAGCGGATCCACTTTAAACGTTAAATTTAATACCTTTGATTTATGGCTGGGAAATTATAGTTGATTATATTTAAAATGGTGATAGATTTCAACTTGATACATTGAACGTAACTTTCTTTCTTTATATTAGATTTTCCATGTCAAAAATGTAGACAGATGCGACGTTTAAGTCTATCCGTAGTCTTTGAAGATGTGAAAAGAATGCAAAAAAAAGATAATGCTACAAATTAAGTAATCAAAATATTATATTTCAACCAAATTTAATAGTTACTGCAATCTCATTAATAAATAAGTTTCTCAAGGAATATAGATTTTAATCAGTTATATTACGACTTTTATTATGAGTAAGTCAGATACGTTTATTGATGCTATAAGCCATAAAGACGAGTGACGATATATCTCATCTTCTACGGCCGCATTAACCCTAACACATGATGTCAATGAATGCAAGAGAGTTTCTAATGATTTTTCATCTAACCAAGTCGATCTAGGAACTCTCCGACGCAAACCAATGCGACATTAGCATTGAGAAGATTAGGTCGGTGTTTGGTCTCTACTTCTTGTATTAATATCTATCTAAGGGAACTCCCCAAAGACCTATCAAGGTATCCACTAAATCTTATGTAAATGTTTTTTTTTGGAAAAATCTATTCTGAGAACTTACGGAGGAGCTGAGCCTGGTTTGACGTCTTGGGAAATATTCAAAGTGTTTCAATACTACAGATGTTATAAGTGCTGCGTTAATTTAAAGAGGTTCGACGGACAGCTACATACCGTTTTCTACATGGTTTATAGTAGAGTCGTATGTCAATATTTTCTTAATCATTGTAGCAAATGTATATATATATATATATATATATATATGTATTTGTAGTTTTTGTTTCTTAAGTGTTTATATATTTTTTTCTTTTATTTTCTTGTAATTTAAATTTTACTAAGCTCTAAGGTGCTTGTGTACTTTCTAACGGTAGATTATAATTCGTGTTGTCGTACGGTGTGATACTTTTTTGTTAGTATATCCAATTACTAATAGAAATTTTTTTAAAAAAATTTTCCCATCAACAACAAAACCAGACAAACAATAATCATAACAACTTAAGCATTGTAGAACTAAAATTCCATAAAAAAAGTTCAACATTTGAAAACCACAACAATAATAAAAAAATGATATTCAAAGTTCAATATCATCAAGCATACGATCTAACCATCCACTTCTTCGCTGGTTTCTGATAACCTACAAATCATGAATATAGCCGAATTTAATTTAAAAACAATTTAATCATAAATCAACTTGTTTTAAAAAATTACCATTAAAAATTCTTTGTTGAATCCAATAGTAGAATTCTTAAAAAGGCTCTTAAAAATTTTGTAATTATAAATTGTGACAATTTCAAAATTAAGAGTTTGTGTTGAGTCCTTAAATTTTTCATTATCCAATGGTAGAGTCCTAACTGGGTTTCTTAAAAAAAATATTATTTTTGATTTGAAAAATTATAAAAAATTTTATTTGATAAAACTTAATAATTATTACAATTTCCTAAAATTTTAAACATACATGACATAAAAGATATAAAAATATACAAATAAAAAACCGGAATAATGATTATTTGTTAGCATGATTCGTGCCGAATAATTATGTCATATATGCTCAACCAAATCAGCTTTCAATTGTTGATGCATAGCCCGATCACGAACTCGGGTTCGATTGGCCATCATATTACTGAGATTTGAAGGCATATATGTAGAATAGGTGAAATGCACTTGTGAAGAGCTGGTTGATTCCGGATGTGCGAATTCGGATACATCAAACTGAGTGTACCCATCTCGTTCGTCATCTACTATCATATTGTGAAGTATTATACATGCTCACATAATCTTTCCTATTTTTACCTTATCCCAAATAAGAGCTTCGAGCTTGCAAACATCCAAAAGAACGTTCAACATCTTTACGGCAATCTTCTTGATTTGTAGCAAATAAAGATGCTTTTCGACCTTGTGGAATTGAAATAGATTGGATAAATTTAGCCCATCTGGGATAAATTCCATCTATGAGATAGTAAGCCAAATGATATTCGTTCCCATTGACTAAGTATTTCACTTTTGGAGTTTTACCTTGTAATATATCATCAAAAACTGGTGAGCGATCAAGAATATTGATATCATTTAAGATACCTGGAGGTCCAAAAAACGTGTGCCATATCCAAAGATCTTGGGAAGCAACAGGCTCTAAAACGATTGTTGGTTTTCCACATCCACGTATATATTGCCCTTTCCAAGAAGTAGGGCAATTGTTCTACTCCCAATGAATATAATCGATGCTTCCTATCATCCCAGAAAATCTACGAAGCTCTCCAATATCGTGTAGTCGTTTAGGATCTCTTCGTGTGGGTTTTCTTAGGTACTCATCTCAGAAAATATATATGATTCCTTCAACAAAATATTTTAAATATGACATCGAAGTGCTTTAACCAATTCAGAGGTATTCGTCAACCGCATCAGCCGCATAACCATATGCGAGTATACGAATTATTGTTGTAGACTTCTGTAGTGCCGAGAAGCCGAACCTTTCGGTAGCATCTCTTCTTTGATCAAAGAATGAAACTTCATCGGAGAGTCTATCAACAATACGCATGAAAAAGTGTTTGTTCATTCTATAACGGCGTCGAAATATATGAGGAGAGAATGTTGCATCTTCTCTGAAATAATTGTTCTATAAGTGGATATGTCCTTGTTCACAATCTCTTTCAATATATGCTCGTTTTTTCTTTGACTTGACTTGTTGACAATCACCATAATTCTCTAATGCTTGGTCGATAAATTGATCAAACTTATCGTCCATCATTTTATTGAGATTATAATGTGAAGAAGATGCTATTTTTTGAAAAAGGGAATTTGTTATGAAATTTAGTAATATATGGTGATAAAGAAGAATGATTTGGAGAGAAGGTAGATTGTTTGGTGAAATGGAAGAATGATTTGGAAAAGTGGTGTATTGTTTTGGAGAAGAAGAAGATTGTTTTGGAGAAAAGATAGAATGTTTTGGAGAAGAAGAAGATTGTTTTGGAGAAAAATAAAAGTGTTTATTCATATAGAGAGAAGTGTTCGGTTTATATATAAATAGAAACTAAAGAATATATGTTGAAAAAGACAAATAAGCATTCAAACCAAATTACAAGTGGTGTTATATTGTCTTGCGTGGTGTACAATCATTCAAACCAAATTACAAGTGGAATATTGTCTTGGTGTACAATCATTCAAACCAAATATAAGTGGTGTTATAGAAACGAGTGGTGTCGGCACAAAAACTCAAAAAAAAAAATAGTGTCACTTGTATCTCTTGTTCAAGTGATGTCGGCACAAGTTGTGTCTTCCACGTATCTGCAAAATTGTTAATAATCAAAGTAATTAGACCAAACACAACTAATAAAAGCATCAAACACAAACTCTGTTCATTAATCGCAAAACACAAATACATATTAGTTAACATTCAAGAACATAAAGTAAGACAACGTTAAGACAACATTCATAACAAACACTTAAGACAAAAACTAAAAAACTACTTAAACTTAAAATAGAAACTACTTAAACTTAAGACAACATATCAGTTATTAGCTTGTTCTTAAGAGCCATCTCTATGAGGCTTTATTTTTGCAAGTAAACTATCAAGCAATTTAGTCCTACTTAGCTTCTATTTATTATTAATTAGCTTATCTTTGAAAGCTAAATCTTTCTCCTTAATCTCCTAAATACATTGTAACTCTTTCAGAGTCTTGTCTTCTTCTCCTTCCACAATGGTTGCTTTGGCTTTGGCTTTGGCTTTGGCTTTGGCTTTTGATGTCTTAACACCAGGGGGACAAGGTTGATCCTCTTGCACAGAGGATGAGGACTATGCAGAGTGTTCATTACACTTTGTTCTCTTTAATGATTTATTGTCTTTAGTAGAAGAAATCTGCACCACTTATGATCATGGCGAAGCTCCCTCCAAGCATGCCAAAGGGTAAACTTGGCATTGTGATCATTGTAGAAGATCTGGTGAGCCAAGTTGACCACATTATTCTAATTCTGGCCACTGGTTTTTTCTTTGGTTGCAACC